AGTTTTTTTTGATCAGTAATTTTTGCTATTTTTATCAGTGAAAATTTTTATTTGATCAGTAATTTTTTTTTTCTATTTATATCAGTGAAAATATTACAATTACAAGAAACAAACATTTATTGAATAAGTAACGCTTTTTTAGCTTTTGAGGGTAGACCTCTACGTCTTTTTTCTCCTATTGGAATGTTTTTTGCAGCAGGTGGAGGTTTACAATAATTGAGTCGAATTGCCAATCCAACGATATGTTTACACATGAACTTCTTGAAATATACTGGACAATTACATTGACCATTTAACTATTTTGCTGAATCCATTGGTAATATCACGTGCCAGATATTAAATGCTTTTGCTTTATATTGGTCGAACGAATACCACTTCATTTTTTTCATTACATCAATTTCGTTTTTTGAAATACTTAATTGTTGACCACCTGGTATGTAAAATTCAATTTCATTTTCTAATTCGATTGATACAACAGATTTGTTCAACTTAACCCATTGATAACTACTAGTTCATATATCTAATGTCACCGTTTGTTCATCATGAAATTGTTTGAGACCTCTTTCGTATGATTTTGACCATTTTTGTACCATTTCAAAAGTTAAAATTTTAAATCTGGACAATGGAAGACGTTCTCGAAATATATTTTCGTCTTTAATCACTCTGTTGTTGGACTCCAAACCATTATTTGTACTTGGGGTTAACTGCTGAATACCTTCGTACCAACCACGATGCGAAGTTAACCATTCCTTTTGAAAATACTCGATGAATGTTGGTTCTTTTCTGTTCCATTTTCTGATAAAAAAATTGGATGCTTTTGTAAATATTTGTTCACTTTGTGCTAATTGTAATGCATCAATATCTTCTACCAAATCTTGCTTCTCCATCTTATTTACCATAGATTCAATCTTCTTCACCACAGCACGTCGCATGTGCGCCCAGCACATTACTATAGGTTTTTCTCCAAAAATGGCTTCAAAGCCATTACGAATTGCACCTGAACCATCTGCAATCAAAATATTTGGAGTAGTTTCTTGTAAATTAAGCTTCATTACACCATCTTGAAGAGCACGAAAAATGAATGTGAATTCTTTGGTCTTTTCGTGGATGGGTGTGGATGTGGGTGCGGGAGTATTTGTAGGATTAGAATACAGTACTCACTCACACCCGCCCACATCCACACCCACCCACCCACACTTACACCCACGCCCATTCGCAAGAATAAATGTAATAGTATTTATAAAGTAGGTCATACAGAAACAAAGACAATAAGTAGGACAACATATATATATGTGATATCGAGGGATATCACAAAATTGTGAAAACTGATAAAAGTGCGATAATTTACTGATCAAACGTAGTTAACTACTGATATTTTAGTTTAAATACTGATATTGTTGTTTAAATACTGATACATTCATTATTTTACTGATCAAATGATTAAACTACTGATCAAAAAA